CTCCAGGCTCTGAGCTAGCTGTCAGCAGAGCCCAACACAGGGCTTGAACCCACAAACCACAAGATCATGACCTGAGCCGAAGTCAGACGCTTAACCAACTGAGCAACCCAGGCACCCTGAAAACTGGGTATCATTTTATTTCTGTTTTTTGTTGTCCTATTTTTCTATCCTGATAGAATCTGTGTGCCTTCTAAAATATCACAGCTTAAGCTCTATTTTGTTGCTGAATTTTACTGAAGCTTTAAGTGAACAGTGAGCCTTCACTTAAATGCTGACTTTGGAGCGTCAGGGTGGCTCAGTCGTTGGATGTTGGACTCTTGGTTTTAGCTCAGGTCATGATCTCAGGTTGTGGGTTTGGGCCCTGCGTCGGGCTCTGTGCTGACGACGTGGTGCCTGCTTGGGATTGTGTCTCCCTGTCTCTCTGTCCCTTCCCTGCTTGCTCTCTACCTCTCTCTCTCTCAAAAATAACATGACAAAAAAAAAAAAAAAAAAAAAGCTGATCTTGAGGATTCTGGGATCTGGGAGAAAGCTTTTTAGTCATTTTTAAAGCATCCCTTTAAATAAAGTCACCCAGCCCCCATCCAGATTCAGGTACTCTATGTTTTTTATTTTTATTGTGTTTAAAGTTTATTTATTTATTTAGAGAGGGAGACAGAGAATCCCAAGCAGGCTCTGTGCTGTAGCACAGAGCCTCATGTGGGGCCCAGTCCCACAAACCGTGAGATCATGACCTGAGCTGAAATCAAGAGTTAGATACTCAACCAACAGAGCCACCCAGACACTCGATACTCAGTATTTTAGAGTATGGTTTTTATCATTTCCCACCATGTCTGCCTATCCACATACATCAAGGGTCAGATCAAATACTCTCTCCTCAGACCTTCCCCGTCCTATCTATTCTTTAACCCTTATTACAATCTGTGTTTAGATAAATGTTAATCCTCCACTGAGAACAGGGGCTGTGTCTCAATCATCTCCCCCCCCACCCCCAGTGGTGCTGAGTCAGCGCCCTGAGCACAGAAAGGCACCTGCTGCGCCCTATGGAATGGCCTGTCTTCAGTCAGCCCGTCTGTAGCTTCCAAAATCAAAGAACTAAGGACTTTACAACAATTATGCAACCGTGGAAGTGCTTTATAAGAATGATTTCCAACATTATTTGTGTTTCAAATTTTATAATTAGCAGTTGCAAATCTGCCAGTGCAGAGTCCTATAATCACAGAACTAAATTATCTCCACTTTTCACTTTGAAACTAAAGTACAGTAAGACACCCATTGCAGCTTGGTGTTTTGCATTTTGCTTCTTTCCCATCTGGCCCCTGCCCACACTAGATGCCATAGCTCCTGACTCATCTTTTTATTTGTATGGTACAGAAATCTGCTTTTCCTAAAATGATGCCACATGGACAATTCCCAAGTAGTTTTCAGAGCTGTCTATGTGGACTGATTTTGCATCAATCAGAGAAGGAAATTGTGTTTTTTTGAAGGAATGTCTTGTTCTTTAGGGCTGGAGAGACTGCCTCTGGTGTCCCAAAGGGTGACACCTTTTAGCAGGGTTTGTATTTTCTCACTAAGTTTGAGTAGTACATACATAAGTACATAATGATATTGAAGAGCTCCTGCAGCCAGAAGTCCTAGCTGAAGAAATGCTGGTCTAGGAGAGGTAGCCCAGGCATTGATATTATTATTATTATTATTATTATTATTATTATTATTATTATTTTGATTTTGCAGAAAAGAAACCACCACATTCAGTGGAGTTTGGAAGTCGGTTGGTGAGCAGTAGAAAAGCCAGTTTCTAAACCAGGTTAAAAAACAGCCTTTCCTTTCTAGACTTCATTTCCCACATCTTAAAACAGTGTACTGAAGTTAGATTATCATAGGGGTCTTCCTTGAACATTTCATTTTTCCTCCTCTTAACAGAAATGCTAATATGCTCTCAAAATAACTAGGAAAATGTTCTTCATGTCCATCATGATTAACACATAAAGGGGATTTGTTCTGGAGGGTTGACCTTACGCAGCTCCAGGAAGTGGCAGAGGTCTCTGTAAGGCACATTGTGTGTCTCGTGCTGGAACTGGAAGCCCAGTGGACGGCGGGCAGACCTTCGTCAGAGATGCTGACCATCCAGGGGCAGCTGGAGCAAGGAGGGGGTGCTTCACACGAGCTGGGCATCCAGCTAAGCTACACAGTGAACTACAAAATGGCCACTGCCTCATCTGGGCCCCTCCATATCTTGCACAAGGATTTGTGGCTCCCCCTGATTGGAAGTGGAATTCTAGGAATTCAGTTTAGCCAAATCGGTATGTTACAAAGCACCACAGTGGCTGTGCCAGGATGGTGGGATTCCAGATGACCTTTCCTTTATATTTTTACATGTTTTAATTCTTCACAATGAATGCATATTGTTCATATAATCTGAAAAAAATATGAAGCTACTCTCTTTGGGGGAGAAAAACCTTCCTTTGCTAAAAGGAATGATAAGAATTAGAAATTCACTGTTGAGAGAAGGTGCTATATATTATACAGGTGAATATCACAGCTCTTATCTGAAAGATTTTAAAAGATGCCCATGTTTCAGTTCTTCTTTTGCTACTTAACAGCTATTGATGCTGCCTTTAAGCCCTAAAAATCCAGATGAAGAATGAGGTACTAAGGAAAACCAGCTTCTCAATCACTGAGTGTCTTCAGTGCAGAAACGTGCCCTGTGAATACACCATCTTTCCATAGATGATGTAACTGATGGAAACATCAGAGCCTGGCCCTCTGGGACTCTATCCCTTCAGAGGCCAAGATCTTTTTCCGAGGAGTACAGAAGATTCTGCTGTGTGTAGACCATGAACACATTGAGATTAAGGAGAAACTAAGCACATTTTAACGCTTGCGTTATATGTATGGTAAGAGTTAGACCGAGCACTCCAGAACTGGAAAAGTGGGGTGGCCTCTTAGATGTCACTGATGGCCTCAAGCTCTATTTTCCAAGCGTGGCACATGATGGTTTCACCTGCCCAATGCTTTCCTCCGGGCCTTCCACTTGCAGCTATGCCACAGATTGTTCACTAGACCCTCACCCCGCTCTCTCCTGCTCATGAAAGAACACCAGAAAGCAAGGGAGTGAAAATAATATTGTGGGGATGCCCTTTATTCAGTCTGTAGGAACTGAAAAGAAAAGGCAAACTTTGACATGTAAGCCATTATTTTACAAAGTTGTTGTAATCCCATGTGTCACTGCGCTATGGTGAAAGAATTCTTTTTCTATAAATTTTTTTTTTAATGTTTATTTATTCTTGAGAGAAACAGAGCATGAGTGAGGGAGGGACAGAGAGAGAGAGAGAGAGGGAGACACAGAATCAGAAGCAGACTCCAGGCTCTGAGCTGTCAGCACAGAGCCCGATGCGGGGCTCGAACTCATGAACTGTGAGATCATGACCTGAGCTCACGTCAGACACTTAATAGATTAAGCCACCCAGGCACCCCTGTGGTGAAAGAATTCTGATCTCCAAAACAGTAGACGTGTAGGGGCACCTGGGTGACCCAGTCGGTTAGGTGTCTGAATCTCGGTTTTGGCTCAGGTCACAATCTCATGGATCTGACAATGCGGAGCCCGGTTGGGATTGTCTCTCCCTCCCTCTCTGTCCCTCCCCTGCTGGCTCTCTCTCTGTCTCTCTCTCAAAATAAATAAACTTACTGGTCCGGTACTGTGTGCACATGGGAAGACGTCATTAGAGCTAGTTCTGGTTCCTTCTTTTTCATCTCACCCGGGAAAAATTAGTGTTCTTTGACAATACTGAATATTAGTACATGTGTAAAATTTCTAGACAGATGTCCATATCTATCTAGATACTATCTATCTGGGGTTCAAAATCAAAAATCTTGAAACCATCAACCTAAAGGAAAGTGAAACTCATTCTCTTCACTTAAATGCCAACTCTGGGGGGAGTACTCAAACGGTTAGCAGATTAAGGAAGATAAAAGCCCAATGCTTTTCCTACTGATTAATAAAACCTCAAATAAAAGCTATAGTAACAGCTAGTAATCAATATAAAAAAAAAACCCAGAAAACGAGAAGACAGTATTAAAATGAAAACAGCATCTTTCAGCTAACGATGCAGTGACTGCTATGCCCCCTCGTGCACATCACATAGGCCCCACATGGGTTCAGGGAAGAGAATGTAACAAAATGGACAGCCTCTTAATTTTGATGTGGCCTTTAGCATCTGTTCTCGTAAAGGAAAAAAAAAGGCAACTCATTTTATAGCTGACAGAGTATTTAGGGACAGGAAAGACACATGCGAGGCTAGAATCATCTAGTTATACAGGAGCCACAACTCCAGGATAGAAAAGCAGTGGCACCCGGGAACAATGACCTATGGCACAGGCAGCCACTCAGGAGGCTCGGGGGCCATGTGGTTTGCAGCCCGGTGTTTACCACGGCAGGGACGCCAACATCATCTAAGCTGACGCCGCCCTAAAAGAGTCACAGTGAAACACAGTCACAGGCACTGGGAGGAAGTGTAATGAGCCCAGCCAGAGCAGAAGTTTTTGGTAACTTTCTAAACCAGTGTGATTAGGAGGGACAGAATCAGCAATCGTTTATGAGTATTAAAAAACAAAAAAATCACTGGAAACATGGATGAACCTTGAAGACTTTATGCTGGGTGAAATGGGCCGGTTGCAGGACAAATATTGTACTGTTACACTTCAGGAATGGAGACAGAGGCTGAAAGTGGCGTGGTGGCTGCCAGGGGCTGGGGAGGGGGACGGGTAGTTACTCTTTAATGGGGACAGTTTCAGTCTGGGAAGATGGGAAGGTTCTGGAGACGGATGGTGGTGACGGGTGCACAACCATGTGAATATCCTTAATGTCACATTTAAAAGTATACATTTAAAAATGGTTAAAATGGTACACTTTATGTCTTGTGTATTTTACGACACAAAATTTTTAAAAAGATCACTAAGGAAGTCCATGTGGAAAATGAAAAACTGAATGTAAAAAAAAAAAAAAAAGACAAATAATCTTTTATTTTTTTAATCAAGAGAGAAATACCTGGCTCTAAGCTCAAGGTCTAGATTGCGGACAATAACGATGAGTCCTACCACACAGTTTTGAGGACATGGTCACACAGGCCACCTTGGAGCTCTCCGCGTGGTGCCTAGCTCTTCCACCCTGCCCAGTACTGAGGAAGGAAGGGTCTCTTTTCCTCAGCCTTGCCCAGCCCTGTCATTCATAATAGACAAACGAGAAGTCCCAGAAACCTGTTCTATTTGGGAAGGCCTTCTTTTGTTCTAGGCTTCGGTGGTTAATATGCTTGACAAATTTCAGAGTCTCTCTATCTCTGTAGACCAGTGCCAAAGAGTTGTTTTCTGGATTCACTGTTAGCAGCTGAAATAAGCGAATGCAATGTCACATCAGAACACAGAACTTCTTCTCAGCTCTTGTCTTTGACAATTCCCCACGGAACAGATGGTTTTCACACCATGTACTCAGACTGGGGACAGGGGATCTTTTAAAAGATCCTTTATGAGGAGGCGCTATTGCTCTGGCTGTCAAGGCATTTCCCAACGGGCCCTATTCCAGTACATACCCAGAAAAGTTTTACCTCATGCATTTCTTCCTTACTGTATTCAAAGATTTCATGGGCATGTACCACGCAACTCTTAACTTGTATGGAATTTATCAATAAGGTAGAATAAATGCTTAGTGATTATCCTTTGGCATCTTTATTCCTTGCTGAGCACTTACTACTAGCAATCAGAATGAGTGCCAGGCAGACCATCAGGGATGTGTCAGCTAAGGACACTGGCAGAGGGTCATAAAAACTGGGTCTCTGAGGAATGAAAGCTTCCTTAGAACTCAGAAGGACAGTTTGCTGTCAGAAGCAACTTACCTCTTCATCTTCACCTTTGGCAATGTAGGAAGTAAAGCCTCCATATTCTGGCTCCCAGCCTTACAGAGGGAAGACAAAGAACATTCAGAAAGCTCTCCCTACAAGACTTCCATTGTCTGCTTACGTTGCCCATCCCATGCTGCTCACAACTGGGGGATCTGGGAGCTCAGTGGTAACCACCTCTGTGACATATGAGCTAGAATTTACCATTCAACCAACATTGAATAAGAACTGAAAACTAAGAATTAAATGTAAAATACACTTGGAAGGAACATTACATATAAGATGTAGATCTGGGGGGGTGTGGTTACTTGGAGGAAATCATGATTTGGCCCACATCCCCCACACCTCAGTCATAGATAGAAATCCTTCTGAGTTGGGATACTGAAGTTCATGACCCCCAAGATTCCTTCCAAAAGGGCGCTTCTGTGATCCGCGATCCTGGCCAAGGCACAGCACTTCTGAATTGGGTCGGCTGGAGAAGGTCACCGGGAGGGACCGCCCCTCTTATGGAAACCGCTCCCTGCTTTCCTTCCTGCCTCTTACCTTCACAGCCACAGTAGAGAAGTAAATCCAGGGCAAATTCAGTCTTGCTGTTGTCATGGATCAAAGTGTAGTGACCAGTCTTCCAATGCCTCAGTTCCCCCTGACAGGTGGGAACACTTGAGTCTAAGAAAAAACAACAGAAGGCCAGAAAAAATTTAAAATAACTTGATACAACTGCTAAATTGCAAGGGAAGAGTAAGCAAGAATGTTCCAGCACTAAAGTGAAACCATTCCCATGAACCCTCTGACCTGCTGCTCCACCAAACAAGCGTTACAGTGATTGTCAGAAGTTACCATGTCTGACTATTGGCGGGGGGGGGGGGGGGGGGGGGGGGGGGGGGGGGGGGGGGGGGGCAGGGGGCGGGAGTTGACGCTCCCTTTCTTTACAGTTACTTTCAGATAGAATATATATTCAGCTGCCAAAATAAAAAATTATAACATGAATAAATACTGTAATTTTAAATAGGCTGCAGGGGCGCCTGGGTGGCTCAGTCAGTTAAGCATCCGACTTTGGCTCAGGTCATGATCTTACGGTTTGTGGATTTGAGCCCCGTGTCGGGCTCTGTTCTGACAGCTCAGAGCCTGGAGCCTGCTTTGGATTCTGTGTCTCCCTCTATCTTTGCCCCTTCCCCACTCATGCTGTCTCTGTCTCTGTCTCTCTCTCTCTCTCTCTGTCAAAAATAAACAATAATTATTATTAGCATCCTGTCTTAGTGTTATTCATTTGTTACAACTGACAAAACTAATGCAGACACATTATTATTAACTAAAATCCATAGTTTACATTAGGGTTCACTCCTGATGCTATACATTCTATTGGTCTTGATAAATGCATAATGTCGAGTGTCCATCATGACAGTATTGAACAGAATTGGTTTTAATGTCATAAAACCCCCCTGTGCCCCACCTAATGCATCCCTCCCTTCCTCCTAATGCCTTCCACTGACTTGACTCTCTCCTTAGTTCTGCCTTTTCCAGAAGGTCATAGTGTTGGAATCATACAAATCTGCCTTTTCAGACTGGCTTCTTTCAGTCAGTAAAATGCATTTAAGTCTTCTCTGTATCTTTTCATGACTTGTTAGCTATTTCTTTTTAACTTCATCCTATTGTGGGTAGAAAATATACTTTGTATGGTATCTTAAAAAACTAACTCAAAAAAATAGAGATAAAGGCTTTTGGTATTAGGATAGCCATTTCTGCTCCCTTTCGGTTACTACTTGCATGCAACATCCTTTGATTTTCAATCTATTTGTGATTCTGGGATCTCAAGTGAGTCCCTTGTAGACAGCAGACAGTTTTTTTTTTAAGAAATTCTTTTTTTGGGGGGGCGCCTGGGTGGCTCAGTCGGTTAAGCCTCCGACTTTGGCTCAGGTCATGATCTCGCGGTTCGTGGGTTTGAGCCCCGCGTTGGGCTCTGTGCTGACTGCCACCTCAGAGCCTGGAGCCTGTTTCAGATTCTGTATCTCCCTCTCTTTCTGACCTTCTCCTGCTCATGCTATCTCTCTCTCTCTCAGAAATAAATAAAACATTAAAATTAAAAAAAAAAAATTCTTTTTTTTAACTTTTATTTTTGAGAGACAAAGAGCAGGGGAGGGGGACAGAGGGGGAGAGGACCCAAAGGGAGCTCCATGCTGACAGCAGTAAGCTCTATGTGGGGATCAAACTCACAAACTTCAAGATCATGACCTGAGCTGCAGCTGGACGTTTGACTGACTGAGCCACTGAGGTGCCCCAACAGCAGACAGTCGAATCATATGTTCCTGTCTATTTTGCCAATCTCTTTCTTTTGATTGTCATCCCTCTGATGGTGCAGAGACCGCTTGGGATTCTGTCTCTCCTTCTCTGTGCCCTGCTCTCACTTGTGTTTTCTCTCTCTCAAGATAAATAAACATAAAGCAAATTAAACAAAATAGTTACTAATAAAGAGGGAATTAATTCTGTCATTTTGCTATTTTTTTTTATTTAATTTTTTTATTTTAGAGAGAGAGTGCATGTGGCAGAGGGGCACAGGGAGAATGTTAAGCAGGCTCCATGCTCAGTGTGGAGCCCAATGTGGGGCTTCATTCCATGACCCTGAGATCATGACCTGAGCTGACATGGAGTCAGACGCGCAATCCACTGAGCCACCCCAGCGCTCCCGTTTATAGCTTTTTGTTCCCCAGTTCCTGCGTTCCTGTCTTTTGTGTTTAATTGACTTTTTGGCATTGAAACGTTTAAATTCCTTTCTTGTTTGCTTTTATGTATGTTCTATAGCTATTTTCTTTGGTTACCACATGGGTTACATTTAACATGCTAAAGTTATAAAGCCTCTAATTTGAATTTATACCAGTTTAACTTTAATGAAATATAAAAACTCTGCTCCTTTACAGCTTAGTCCCCACCCTTTTAAGATGATAAACTTTGCAAACATTTACTTTTCACGTTTACCTTTTGTATTCTCTCCTCTGCTTTGGGCCAGGGCCTTCTGTACAGTAGATGCTTAGTAAACGAACAAAGCATCTTTTGGCAGCCTATATAGACTTTTCCCCCAAGTTGTAGGTTCCCATAAAAATGAAACTAAAAGGAATAGAGGTAAACAAATACTTTTTTATAAAAAGCCCATGAGGCCCCAATGATCCTCACCTGATTCGTTTTAGGGTCCAGGTATAGATGCCAATTTCAATTATCAAGGAAAGCCAACCTTTATCTTAAAGTAAAGCTATCTTGGGGCACCTGGGTGGCTCAGTCACTTAAGTGTCTGACTTCAGGTCTGGTCACTATCTTGCAGTTCACAGGTTCAAGCCCCGCTTTGGAATCTGTGCTGACAGCTGGGAACCTGGAGCTTGCTTCAGATTCTGTGTCTCCCTCTTTCTGCCCTCCCCTGCTTGTGTGCCCTGTCTCGTGTGCTCTCTTTCAAAAACAAATAAAAACATTATTAAAGAAAGTGCTGTGTATTGACTAGCACAGAAAAAAGCCACCTGAGTCTGGGTGTTCTAAATGTCTGTGGTAACCAAAGCGATAGGTCAGTTTGGGAGGCCACAGACTCCACATTATGCTGCTTGTGTTTCCGTGTCACATGGCGGGGTTTGTCTCCATGGCCATGGCTTTCCACCTCCCAAGCCTTTGTGCTTCTAACCGTGTGGGGTCCTTCTCAAGCAATCAGAGTGGAAGCATTGAGAGTAAAACTGAGGAGAGGAATCGGGAAACAGATTTTCTCGACTGGTTTAGTAGGTACTGAAATGTGTATGTTGAATTGGTAACTACTCAGTTACCAATGCCACAGAAGCCTTACCTCTTAAATTTCCTGTATTTTTCTCTTTTTCATCTTGTTTGTAGAGGATTAAACACTTCCTCCACTTTAAAAAATTTTTTTTAATTTAAATTTTTTAAATTAAAAATTTAATTTTAAATTTTAAATTTTTTAAATTTAAATTTAAATTTTTTAAATTAAAAATTTAATTTTAAATTTTAAATTTTTTAAATAAAAAAAAATTTAAAGTAATCTCCACACCCAACGTGGGGCTCCAACTCAGGACCCTGAGATCAAGAGTCACATGCTCTTCCAACTGAGTCAGCCAGGCGCCCCTAGACTTCCTCTACTTCTAATAATAATTTCCTTCTGTCCATTTGCCCAAATGCAAGCAAGTTTTTCTTAGGCTGCTATTGGGCCTTGGAAGAAATAAGCGGCTCACCTTCCTCTCCTTGGTGCTGTTGTGTTTTAAAGCAGTTTGGGGCACCGCCAGTCCTATTTCTGTCTCCTGTTTGTATATCGTTAGCCTAAACATATGAGATGCTCCTCCTGCCCAGAACGTTCTTCCCACAGATCCTTCTTGTTACTCCAATCTGAGCTGAGATGGCAGCTTCTGAGACAGGCTCTTCCAACTGCCCCTTCACCTAAGAGGCCACTTGGTGGTTCCTCACACACAACCCTATGAAAGTTTCCACATGCACTTGTTATTTGATGTCTTCTTGTGGCTCATGTACACGTTTAATCTTTGTCCTCTCCTCCTAGGATATAAGCTCTGGGAGAGCAGAGACCTTGTTTGTTCTGTCCTCCATTTCCCAAAACAGGCCTAGCATATAGCAGATGCTCAAGAAATATTTGTTGGTTGAATAAATGATTGACTAGCGAGTGCTTAATGGTACATAAGGACAAATCATACCGACAGCTTACCTTTCTTGGCTTCGTTTTCCTCTGACTCTGGGTCTGTCTGTCCACTGCTCTGTTGGCTGCTGTTGCTGACAGCCATGTGAGGACTCTCTGGCCCAGGGGAGCTATGGCTAGTCCCTTCTTCGGTGTGATCAGCCGCAGAGGTGCCTTCACCCTCGTTTCTGTCCTCCACCTCATCTTCCTCCGAAGGGGCCAAGAAGTGGAGTTTCAGGCCCGTGAAGTTGGAGAGCAGCAAGAACAGAGCCTCGGAGCGAAACAAGTCCATGCAGTCCTTTAGGATGTTGGGAAGATTGCTCTCCTCAGCTTTCTCATAAAACCTGGAAAGCAGTGATGCCAAGTTGTTCATCGAAGCCACAGACGTAATATCATGCATGGAATAAAAGCTGATCGTTAGCTTTGTACCCCGCTGCCTAAACCTTGGCATAGCTCACTGAATCACAGGTTGTTCTAACAGTGAGGTTCTCTCGGGGCCTGCTACCGGATGGCCCTGGGGATGAGACCCCACCAGGACCAATGTCTTATTATTGGAGGTGAGCCTGGTTGACCAACAGGCAGGTGCTGAATGCAAAAGTCTTGGTTCTACCTTTTGTTAGGGGGACCTCGGCTGCTCCATTTCACATCTCCATTCTCCAAAGCCTCACAGACCTCTGCAAACTTCTCAGGCTGGAAAATGAGCACAGAAAGAAAGAGTTAGGGGCTCTCCCTGTGGTCCCACAGCTGGTCCTGTGGCTGGAGTAGCTCTGCAGAATCATTCTGATTCCTAAAAGGGCCAGTTGACGCTAACTGCCCCCCCGCCCCCAGCTGCGCCGGCCTGATACAGTGAAGCCAGAACAAAGACTGGATAAACCATCACCATGCCTTAGCCAAGAGATTAGAGTGTTAATCTGGACTACCTCCTTCAGCAGTTCTAGATCTTACATCAAATTGCTAAACATCTCAGCCTCCCGCATTTATAAAATGAAGATCACAATACAGACTCTTTAATCCAGGAGATATGAAGGGAAAACATTAAGCGGCAAAACAGCCAAGGTCATTACAATGAAAATCTCTGTGGGCCTCACTTTTATTTAATCAGCCTTATAAAAAGCCGAGAGCAGAGCAAGAAGCTGATTAATCTGTTGAAATATGCTCAAGAGGCTTTCTCTATACTTGTTTAATGTAGCTTCCCAAGGAATGTTCTCAACACTGCAGTCCTATCAGCTGTAGAACAGGAACGAGGATCACAAAGCCTGCTTTAGGTAAGTTCAATAAAATAGGGTCAAACACGTTTATTTACTATGCTTCTCAAATTCCTTAATATGTCAGCTTTAAAATTCCAAGAGAGAGAGAGGCAGTATGTAGCATCTCAATCTTTATCTTTCTCAGGGAGGAACAGCTCTTGGGGCTCCCATGGGGCCCAGGACCAACTGTGAAGCACCACACCAGCATCTGTGACCTTGTGTGGCCCTCACAGTAACTCTTCAAGACGAGGAAGGCGGGTTCTATCGCAGTTTAATTGATGATGAAATGGAAGCTCAGAGAGATTTAGTGATTTGTTCAGGTTAGTAAAACCACACAGCCAGAACATGAATATAGAGTCCTTCTGACTTCTGATGTAGTTCCTTCTCCACTGAAATGTGTTACCTCATCCTTGTGAAACACTCATTAATAGGAGTTGACCAGTTAATAATCTCTCCACTAAAAGCAATAAGCTTATAGTGAACCATATTCACCAAACGAATAGGAAGGAAACTACATACAACTCCCTCTCAGCGTAGAAGCTAGTTGTGTGTGTGTGTGTGTGTGTGTGTGTATGCACCGTGAAGATTCTAGAAAACTGGGGAACACCCAGGGGACTCTCAACACACTAAGCATACAACTGCTACCAACGTCAGCTGTTAGAACTGCTTCCATATTTTATTTGAAGAGGATGATAGAAATATTCTAACCAGGAATAAAGCAAAAACTCCTTTAGTGATGCCTGCTCACCCACCCAAGAAGGAAGATTGACAAAAGCAGTTGTTATAACAGTACGATTTCATTAGGGCTGCTACTGGATGTCCCCAAGATACACTGGACAGGATATGCTGTCTTACCTTAAGGAACTCCTTTAGGAGGATTTCAGACCTTTCTTCAAACTCTTCTTGAATTTGAACTTGGTAATCCATGTCTAGATAAGTAGGGTTGATCCAATCATATAAAATTTCATGCTTAAAAGAAGCAGTAGATACAAAACATGAGTTCACAGTTCCTACTGCTTTTGTTCTTATGTTATTTCATGCTAGTAAAATATATGCAGATCCTCACTCTATAATTTCCTCCTTGTTACACGTAAAAGTGCCGGAAGACTCTGCCTGAGAAAAGGCACTATCAAAAATTTATCTAAGAAAAGTGGAAGAGCAGACACCAAGTCTAGTTTCATTACCAGAAACACAAATGACACACTACAGCTTCTAGAGAAGAGGCCAAACGATAGGATTTATGCTTACATCTTGTGGGATGTGCGGGCTCCGAGGTATGAGTGGTTCAAAGTAGTTGGGGGGTCTGGTCAGTGAAGGACCATGAAACCAGCCACTTATAGACAAACGGGACTTTTCTTCAGAAAGGACTTCGGACACCTGAAAAGAAAGGCCAGCAGCACATGAATGAAGACACCAGACAAGGGGGAAGGTCACCAGCCAGGGTGCACTGACTTCCAGATCCATCACAGTGGACTGGGCACAGTCTGGCCACGGGGTCCAGCAGAAGCTGTCACGTTTTGGTCACGGGGAACTAAACAGCATGAACCTTACACTCTGTATGCTTGTAGTTTACGATCTTTACCTGGTGAAAGGATACTGGAGACACTTCAAAGAAAACCAGCGTGTTCCACGAAGGGATAAGAGACTTGACAATCTGCTTTGGCTGGAAGTGCTCTGCACCAGGAGAGAAGACAACCACAAGCGTGGCTTCATTATCATTAACCACTTCCAGTCCGCCTTGTTTCACTCCGACAGTTCCCAGATTCCTAGGGGGAACTAGATGTGCCCTGCAGATCCCAAACCACCCCCCCTTCCTCCTGTCTCCCTCACACTTGCTGGGAGCTATCTGTTCTCACTACACCATCCCTCTATTATCAATGGGGGCTGGAATAAGTTCGGAAAATTTTCCAGATTCAACATCTGGTGTCGGTCCTTAGAAAACAGCCCTGGCTTCCTGTCAGACGGAGTCACCCTGGCAGACTGATGGCACCAGACGGCTGTACACGCGCTCTACCTTTCCGTGGTCAGTATTTAGAAGTAGGGTCCGCCGAGGCCTGTTAATGGACTCCATCTCTGGAATATTGACGACTTCAAGAACTACTTAGAGAGGCAGCCGTCAGGGCTGGCATCCCTTCCCCCTGAGGTTGTTACCCTACTGAATGGCTTCTGCCTCTTCAGGTGAGTACACACGCTGTGTATAAGAACTCAGAAGTGGCTACTGGTGCCGAGGAGCACGCGCTGGCCTTACCATCAACGCTGTACAGGTCCAGGGTGCCCCCCAAGCTCCTGTCCCAGGGAGGAACCAGGTAAAGGATGAAGGCGATCCGGCGCCCTTCCAGCTCATCGTCATGGCAGAGGAGGGCATCTGCAATAGTGTAATGCAAACTTTAATGTCCCTGTACCGACAAGGGGCAGCTGATATCAGATCTAGCTTTTACTTTCAGTCCATCCGTAATGTTCCTCCAGCTGTAGAATGACACTGATTTCTCCTATTTTATAATTGGAGACATAAAACGGGCAACATGGAGGACTCAAAAAGCATTGAAGGGCAGTTACAGAGACAGACCCCAGAGAGAATCACTAACAGTATTTTTGCTTATATTCTTCCAGTATTTTTCCTACATACATTTGCTTTTAAAATATGGTATCCTACAGTGGTTGTTTTGTGGCCTTTTTATTACATGGTAAGTGTCCACATCAGTATACACACCTGTCCTGCTTTTTAATGGCCATGTAGTCTACCATATGGGTTATGAGTTATCTTCCTTCCCTTTTAATATTCCACTTGTTAATTAAGTTGTCTCCATTTCTCATCTATTAAGAAAGGATGCCTTAGGGGCGCCTGGGTGGCTTAGTTGGTTAAGCGTCCGACTTTCGCTTAGGTCATGATCTCACGGTTCATGGGTTCAAGCCCCGCGTCGGGCTCTGTGCTGACTGCCAGCTCAGAGCCTGGAGCCTGTTTCAGTCTGTGACTCCCTCTCTCTCTGACCCTCCCCTGCTCATGCTGTCTCTCTCTCTGTCTCTCTCCAAAAAAAAAAAAAAAAAAAAAAATTAAAAAAAAAAAAAAAAAGAAAGGATGCCTTAATGAACATCACTGTACATAGATCTTTTAGTGCTGATTTCCATTAATCTCTTGAGCTAAAACTTCTAAGGGCCATTTGGTGAACTGAGCAAGGTAGGCATCTGTGTAGGGCAGGGGAGGGAAGGCGTGCTATGATGACCTGAGGCTGTTCTCACATGGAGGGATCGTGATCAATAAAGAAATATATTGAAGATAATGGAAGCCATGATTCTCACTGCTGAGGTAGGAAATTACAAATATGGAAATGGCAAAATCTGGGATAAACTCTATAGTGTTGAACTGCAACTGTAGGAATCAACTGTGAATTGAGCTTCCTATATGGGTAGACGTTTATATAGATATTGAGATATCTACATATTTCTAGATGTCGAAACACAAAAATGTAAATGCACGTGTGTGCACATGTGTGCGTGTATGTGTGTATGTGTGTTTACTGCCTCTTTTCCACTGAAAGGCCTGGGGGCCGTGATACCCTAATAGCAAAAACACCTACAGTCCAGATCTTGAATTTTTTAAAATGTTTGTTTATTTTTGAGAGAGAGAGAGAGGAAGAGAGAGAGAGGGAGACAGAGGATCTAAAGCGGGTTCTGCACTAATAGTAGCAGATGCAGGGCTCAAACTCACAAACCGTGAGATCATGACCTGAGCCAAAGTTGGACGCTTAACTGACTTGAGCCCCCCAGATCTTGATATTTAAGTATCGTTCTTCACTAAAAGGAACTATGGTTCTTTGGAGGAATGGCCGACTCTGGATCTAGAGCAGGGGAAATATTAGATAAGCCTGGAAAATCTTGTTTTGCTAGAAAGTAAGATATATTAAGAATGATGGGGACACATCAAAAGGACATGGAAGTCAGTTTAAAGGGACTCCTCTTGATCAAATCAGGGACAATATAAATATCAGTATAATGATAGCAACTGATTATAGCTCATTACATAAGTAGTAATCCATACATCCACACCAACATAGATACAGGGACAAATAAATGGGAAGAAGGGAATGTTTCCTTTACAGTAGAATGACAACTAATAAATGTAAAATAAGCAATTTTATTATTAAAAAAAAAATCCCTGTTTGGCAACTTGCATAGTAATAAGTCAGCAAGAAATATCAGAGGATGCTGGGGCGCCTGGGTGGCTCAGTCAGTTAAGTGTCTGACTTCAGCTCAGGTCATGATCTCGCAGTCTGTGAGTTTAAGCCCCATGTGCTGTGCTGACAGCTCAGAACCTGGAGCCTGCTTCAGATTCTGTGTCTCCCTCTCTCCCTGCCCCTTCCCTGCTCATGCTCTGTTTTTCTCTCAAAAATAAATAAAAATTAAAAAAATTTTTTTAATTAAAAAAAAAAGAAAAACCTGACATTAGCCACCACCTTAATTAAGTAACCAGAGTTAGTATCACTAGACTATGACACACAGAAACCATGTACCACTTGATAAGATGCAGTGTAAAAAACCCACATAATTAATTCTGTAATATTCCTACCAAGAATGCATGGCTTGAATCTAATCACGAGGAAGCATCAGACAAACTCAAACTGAGGGAAGTTTTACAAAATGACTCCTCCGTAAACCTTCAGAAGCAGTAAGACCATGAAAGTCAAGGAAAGACTGAACTGTTCTAGACTGAGGGAGTCCAAACAGGCATGACAACTGCATGCATGACACAATCCTGAACCAGATCCTTTTGAACATGTATTTTATTTATTTTTTGTTTATTTATTTTTGAGAGCAAACAAGCGTGGGCGGTCCAGAGAGAGAGAAGGGGACAGAGGATCTGAAGTGGGCTCCGGCTGACAGCAGAGAGTCCAACACAGGGCTCAAACTCACAAACTGTGAGATCACGACCTGAGCTGAAGTCGGACGCTCAACGGACTGAGCTCCCCAGGCGCCCCTAGATCCTTTTGCAATCAAGGACCAAATAACAGAACTTGAATGGAGCCTGTGCATTAGATGGGACTCATGTATTAATCTCAACTTCCTGATTCTGACGGTTTATCGCTATCATACAGGGGAATGTCCTTGTGGCAGGAATCACTGCAGTACTTGGGGGGCTGGGGGCAGAACAGGAACCTACTCTCAGGTACAACAGGAAATAAGTTATTTGTACTATGTTTGCCACTTTTCTGCAAGTTTGAAGTTATTTCAATTAGAGTTTTTTTTTTTAATAAAAAAAGGACGTATGATGGGACTCTTCCTGTGTACCACTCAGTTATCCTCAAAAAGCTGCTACGATTTTATACGTACCCCAGTTACACTTTATATTGTGTGAGAGTAAACCCAAATCAAAATTGGACTCAGGAAAACAAAACAAAACGCTTTTTCTTCCAGACCAAAAAAACCAAGTGTGTTTTCAAAAAGACATTTATGTGCTGAGGGAACTGGTGACAAAGGATACCTCTGAGAGGAGCTGGGGAGACCAAAAGAAAGGGAAGGGGACCGTCAAGGTTTACGCAGTATCCTTCTATATTGTTTGAGGTTTTTGTTCTTTAAGAATGTGGTTCTAGGGCACGCCTGGGTGGCTCAGTCAGTTAAGCATCTGACTTTGGCTCAGGTCATGATCTCATGGTTTGTGAGTTCAAGCCCGTGTCTGGCTCTGCGCTGACAGCTCAGAGCCTGGAGCCTGTTTCAGATTCTGTGTCTCCCTCTCTCTCTGGCCCTCCCTTGCTTGTGCTCTGTCTCTCTCTCTCTCTCTCTCTCTCAAAAATAAATAAACATTAAAAAAAAAAAAAAACAACAATGTGGTTCTACGTGCAGAGTTTACAATATCACCTCGGAGTTGCCTGATAGTGTACACAAAGCCGATGTGCGTGTGCCTTATCAGCGTTTTCCTGAAAATATGGTCGGCAGCTTTCGTATTTCCACCAAAGAGAACCACTGCCTTATTATCCCTTCCAATAAGATGGGCGTTTCGGTCTCTGAGCTGGGTCAAGGGCTCCTGACTGAGAAGGTTCTATACTATGTGGGGACATGCGGTCTGGGATTCTGACACACTGGTGCTACCTTCTTGCCACTGTGTAGTGAAAGCCTTTAAGACTTCCAGACGTCAGGGGCTTGATCTTTCTTACCAGAGAATTCATATTTAGCACAGGACATGTCAATAGTTGATTCCAGGTCAATCTTGGAAATGTCAGAAAGCCAAGTCCGGAAATCTTCAAACAGAACTTTCCTAGAAATGTAAACAAAGATAACTTGTTAGGCCGCAGTGAGGCCTCCAGTTGGGTCTAGGCCACAACTACTTTTTCCTGGAGGCTGCAGTTTATTCTTTATTTATTTATTAAAAAAAATTTTTTTAATGTTGTATTTTTATTTTTGAGAGAGACAGTGTGAACAGGGGAGGGTCAGAGAGAGGGAGACACAGAATCTGAAGACAGGCCCCAGGCTCTGAGCTAGCTGTCAGCACAGAGCCCGACACGGGGCTCGAACCCACGAACTGTGAGATCATGACCTGAGCTGAAGTCGGACGCTTAATAGGAGCCACCCAGGTGCCCCTATTTATTTTAAACTTGTACAGGTTAGGACTTGGAACTGAAATAAAGAGAAAGAAATGCAAATCTATCTACTGTAATCTATTTTTGCTCTGTTTCATTTCACTTTCTTCCTCTTAAGTTTATGGCATGCCCTATCACAGCAGTGCTTTGGCCTCTGTCATAATATATCGCACTGATGTTCTGTTCCGAGGTTACTGGATTTTATTTTTTATATATTTATTTTTTGTTGTTGTAGTATTTTGTTTAATTAGCACTCAGATTACAGATGGATTGACCTGGTTAGGTCATTGCCCTGCAGGTACAAGAAAATTGAGTTGATGTTATTAACAATAAAATGTTTTGAATAGTGAATCATAAATACTAAATTGATAATAAAAAGAAGCCGAGGAAGTTAAATCTGGAAGGGTGATGACAGGAAGTAATGGATGGCAGCTCCTTATGAGATTAAAGAAATATATGATATGAAGGTGCTTAGAGAATAAATGCTTAATTTTGTACTTTTTGAAGAGGAACATTTTCTAGTTGTTAATAAAATCAATATTGTTATGTGGCTTTTTTTTCTTTTTTTAATAATGATTTCTCTTTCACACATGCTTAACTTTATGGAAGAGGCTTGAATGAACTAAGTGTCAGGTTTGGGCTGGTTACCTAGAGCTAAAAGAGGGTATTGAATTAAGACCAAATGAGAAAACAGAGCAAACACATTAAGCTAGATTCAGTCTCTGTATGAGGAAAAAAATGAACTGTGAAGAATTCACATCACCCATGTTAATTTGCCAAATTGGAATAAGAGATAAAATTCTGGTGAAAAGTAAGGAAATCTTGTACTTATATTTTTAATAATCTCATCAAATAATTTCAGAAATGATATTGCAAGTCATTATATGCAACTTCAAAATACTTTGGATATAATAGAAACTCCAAATATTGATTACATTGAATTATTTTACTAAAATAGCTTATATTGTGTCAGTTTGTGTTTAATGATGTTTTTATTTCTCAATGGAGGATATAACACAGACTCCTTAGTTTGTAATGAGACACTCACAATGAATCTCTGCAAATATTTATTTCTAATTCTACAGGGATGCCTCATGCGCCCAAAAAAACATCCATGTATACTCAGCAATAAATCAGACTAAGTCCAATGCTGCTCAGCTGCCTAGGTTACTGAATTTTAGATATGTTCTTCAGCACTAACACTGGCTCCACTGTTGAAGGACCACTTAGTTTGTAGATTAAAACCTGTAAGTTGCAATAATGGTATATATTATGCTAACTATGTAGCAATAAGGAAAATCTTTCATATAAGTTTTTTTTCTTCCCTTTTAAAAAATTATTTATTTATTTATTTATTTATTTATTTATTTATTTATTTATTTTCGAGACAGAGAGAAACAGAGCATGATTGGGGGAGGGGCAGAGAGAGAGGGAGACACAGAATCTGAAGCAGGCTCCAGGCTCTGAGCTGCCAGCAGAGAGCCCGAAGCGGGGCTTGAACCCATGAACTGCGAGATCAGGACCTGAGCAGAAGTCCGATGGTTAACCGACTGAGCCACCCAGGCACCCCATGTTTTATTTATTTTTGAGAAAGAGATAGAAACAGCATGAGCAGAGGAGGGTCAGAGAGAGAGGGAGACACAGATTCCGAAGACAGGCTCCAGGCTCTGAGCTAGCTGTCAGCAAAGAGCCCGACACAGGGCTCGAACCCACGAACCATGAGATCATGACCTGAGCTGAAGTCAGATGCTTAACCGACTCAGCCACCCTGGTGCCCCAACATGGGAGTTTTAATATTTGCCAACCTAATAGGTGGAAAATGCTTCCTGCAATGTTTCCCTGATTACTAACAAGGTTGAATACTTTGTCATTGAGAAGTTGGGCCCTGGAATCAGACTGGTTTGAGTTTGTATCTCAGCTCCCCCAGTTTTCACCTAGGAAGCCCTGAAGAACTTACTTCATGTCTCAGTCTGTTTCCTCCTCTACAAAATAGGATAACGACATAATGTTCTATAACACTTCCCACACCCGACAAATAGGACTAGTTGTTTACCTTAAAGCACAGATGTGAGGCTCTCTTCTCTTCTTCAAATCATCAGACTTGATCATAAAAAAGAGGAAAAACAAAAAAAGATTACCTTCATATATATGACATATAGAAGAAAGCAGTTCAGTGAGTGCCCTGGTGGCAGAGCATTATGGGTATGAGCCTGGACTCTGAAGCCTGACTGCCTGGGTTTGACGGATACCCTCTCCACGTAGGAGCTCTGCAGCTCGGGCGAGTTCCTTAACCCCCCTGTGTCTTAGTCATTCAACAAATACTTCAACAGTTATGACAGTAGAGCTTATATTTTGAGGGAGACAGACAATAAACATACAAAGCCAGTGGTTAGTATGAAAGAAGGGGACAGAAGCACGGGGAAAACCAGCAGAGTTGGAGGGAGCAGGCGTGCTTACGTGGGAAAGGGCTTCCAAGTATGAACACGGTGGCCAGGCTAGACTTTGCTGAGGGAAGCAAAGCCTTGAAGGAGGTTGGGAAACAGGCCAAGAGAATATCTAGGCACAGAGGATTCAAGGTCCCGAGTGGGAAGCATGGCCTGGCCCAGTCAAGAAATCCAAGGAGACTGTGTGGCTGGAGCAGAGACAGTGCGGGGAAGAGCAGTAGGAGATGGGGCCAAGGAGGCAATGGGGACGCCATAGAGCTGTTCTAAGCACTCTGGCTTCCTGACAAAGAAATGAGGAACCATGGGAATTTTTGAGCAAGGGAGTATTGGGATCCCAATTCAAATTTCTAAAAATTGGGATAAAATTCATGTAACACAAAATTTACCATCTTAACCATACAGAAGTGTGTAATTCAGTGGATTTTAGTATATTCACCATGTTGTACAACCACCACTGCTGGTTCTAGAACATTTACCATCACCTCAAAAAGAAACCCTGTACCCATTAGGCGGTCACTGCACATCCCTTTCTCTCCCAAGTCCTGACCACCGCTTATCTACGTTCTGACTCTCCACGTGGATTTGCCCTATTCCGGACATCCTAGAGACGGAATCCTACAACCTGTGACCTTGCGTGGCTGGCTTCTCTCAGCACGTTTCCAAGCCTCCTCCATGCTGCAGCAGCATTACTACGTCATGCCTTTCTCTGGCTGAGTAATATTCCGTTGTGCGGACAGACCACACTCATTTGTCCATTTATCAGGTGATGGACATTTGGGTCCATTCCACTTTTTGGATATTCTGAACAGTGCCGCTACGACCATTTGTATACTAGTTTCTGTGTGAACGTGTTGTCACTTCTCTTGGGTCCACTGTCATTTTAAAAGAACATGACGGCTGTGACTGTGGAGCTGGGCAAGGGACTAGACTACAAGACTAACAGAATAATCCTGATGAGAGACAAAGATGATTTGGGCCAGGTGTTGGCTGTCGGCAGTGGAAGTGGAAAGAAGTGGGTTTTTTCTGGATAGGTTTTGAAGACAGAGCCTGCAGAATTTCCTGACAAACTGGGTATGAGGGGAGAGAGGCCTTAAGGTTTTTAAGCCTGGCTCCCTAGCAAGATCGAGTTGCCATTAACTGGGACTGGTAAAACTGCAGGTGGAGCAGACTTAGGGGGAGAAGATCAGGAGTTCAGTTTTGGACTTAGGTGTGAGACACTGAACAGATATATCCAAGAGGAGAGGCAAAGCGAGGGACTCCCTGGAAATCTGCCTGCAAATGGCCCAAGGGCAAAGCCCTAATGTATTCATTCCATCATTGAGAAGTCAAGCACAAAAGGCAAACCTACCAAAGGAAAGCAAGGACTAGCCAGGGAGGTATAGCAGGAAGACCAGGAGACCATGGCCTCCTGAGTGTAAGGTGAAAATGTCTCCTGGCGAAAGGAGTAACACAGTAGCTCCAGTGCTTCTGGAAGTCAAGGAAAGCGAGGCCTCAAACCTGATGACTGGATTTACTAACGCAGAAGTTGCGAGTGAGCTTGGCAAGTGCGGCTTCAGTGGAGTTGTAGGGGAAAGCCTGATGAAAAGTGGGCTTAACAGAGAATGGGAGAAGACATGTTTCAGAAAGGACAGACAACTTCTAAGGAATTCTACTGTCAAGAGGAGCAGAGAGGGGCGCCCGGGTGACTCAGTCGTTTGAGCATCCAACTCTTGATTTAGGCTCAGGTCATGATCCCAAGGTCATGGGATCAGGCTCTGTGTTGGCCTCTGCACTGAGTGTGAAGCCTGCTTGAGATTCTCTCTCTATAAGAAAGGAAGAAGAAGAAGAAGAGGAAGAGGAAGAGGAAAAGAAGAAGAAGAAGAAGAAGAAGAAGAAAAAGAAGAAGGAGAAAAAGAAAAAAAAGAAAAAAAAGAGGAGCAGAGGAATATGGTGGTAGCTGAAGGGCAAAGTCAGGTCAAGAGCATTTTTTTTTCTTAACATCTTTCTTTTATATGCTGAAGGTAATGATCCAGAAGAGAAGGAAAGACTGATGTAGTCACCTCATCTGTAAAATAGAAATAGTAATGTACCTCCTTCATAGGACCGAGGATTTATTTAATGAATTAATAAAGTACTTGGCATGGCATAAAGCATGCACTCAATGATGCTTGTTCTGAAATATACAGACTATCAGGCAGCTCTTAATGACATACTTGGTTAGGAAGGTTGGAGGGTATCAAAGACTCAATTAAGGCAATTCATAGCACAAGCAAAGGGGATATAAACAAAGTCTGAAGGGACAGAAGACTGAAAGCAGGTTTTATATTTACCGTCTTAGGATGAAGAAGTTCAGTCCCAACGTGAGCAGAGTAAAAATTATTCACAGCCCAGTAGAGTTCCACCAAACACCCATGTGATCTAATCTTTTATTTTTCTCCTCATTACCCAGGGCCCTTTTTATTATTTTGCCACTCACTGACTTCACAGTTAAAAGTATTTTCATCCATTGAATTGCATTTAAGTAAAAAACAGTTTTATTTCTCAATTTTAGTAATCAGAGATGCATATAGCCCTAAATCTACGAGATTTAGTGTTATTGAAGTTTATATAATTACAAAGGCAGATAATTGTGGTTTTTAATTAACCTATGTAACTTTTCTAAGGATAAAAGTTTAATTTTAATTGGATTTCCTGAATTATTAAGAGATATATTGTGTATTTTATTGTGTGGTTAATTCAATTCTATATGCAAGGCCCAAAGATAGACATACTAGGGGACACAATCAGCTCTAGTGCAAAAGAAAAGAGAGAGAAATCCTGTTATTTTCTCCCTTATCCCAGATAAAGAGAAAGCAAAGGGTAAAGGCAAAGAAAACAAAATAATTCTTCACCTTTTTCATTTTATCCTGTGATTTTTAAGGGTTGATGTCCATGAGGTTTTATAAAGGATTTCCAGGAGCGATGTACACCATATAATAAAGATACTCCTACACAAACTGGGGAAACGAATGATCAAGATCTCCATACCCAGACTGGGCCCTGTCTTCTAACAGTAGAAGACCAGCCATGATTTTGACATGATCTTTCTGCCACATGAAACTGTCCACCAAAAAAGGAATAGACATAACTCTCTTGTGGACATTCTGCAACACATCAAGCCATCTTAAATAAAGACATGAACTCAAAAATTTAAATGGTTGTTATTTTCCAACATACAGTTCTCTTTAGCATATCAATCCCCAAAAGTTACCTAATCCTCTTTGTTTATAATGTACTTAACTTACTGGCTTACTGTATTTCTTGATTGTCTGTTATGATTGTTACCATTTCTACTATTTTAGATTTTGAAGTCTTATAGGGCAGGGACTGTCAGAGAGTCCCATACAATAATTATGGCACCTAACACATCGTTAATACTCAGTACGTTTATGTGAAATGAATGAACGATTGTTTACTATGTCAAGAAAAGGACCCTCCAAGGCAAACCCAATCTAAAACTTCAAGTCCAAAGGTAATGAATGACTCTGTAGATAATGAATTTCTGAAGTGGAAGGGTGAAAGGGACATAAATACCTGCTGGAACTTATATAAATCATTATATTTTTCATGGAAGTCCAAGTTCAAAAGTTCTTTCTGAAGCCCTTCCAGAAAGTTTTGGCTTTGGATGAAGTTTGGGATCACACAGTGAAGAAAGGGCTCCATGTCCATGACAATGGCTTCTGTTGGAAGGAAAACATTACCTGTGACTTTTTCTCCTTTTGTATTTTTGACCCCCAAGTGGTATAGCAAAGAGAATACAAAAAGGAATGGTCCTGAATTCTCAGAAATCAAGTACTTAAAATCTAAGATTTGGGGGAAGAGTTATAAGCTCTTCTCTTTTTTTCTTTACCTATTCAATACTGCTTTTTAAAAATATTGTTCTTAAAATACTAGTTCTTAAAAGGAGTACAGGTGATATCACTAAATTAAGGTTCTTTTTTTTGAGTTTTTAAAAAATGTTTATTTTCGAGAGAGAGCGATCAGTGGAGAGGCAGAAAGAAAGAAGACAGAGAATCCAAAGAGGGTTCCGTGCTTACGGCAGCAACCCCAAAGCGGGGCTCAAACTCTTAAACTGCAAGATCATGACCTGAGCCGACCTCCAATGCTTAACTGATTGAGCCAGCCCAGGCTTCCTGCTTTTTTTTGTTTTTGCTTTGTTTTGTTTTTTTTAGTTCAAAGATTAGCTATTGAACTGAATATATTTTAGAATCTTTACTGACTTCTCCCAAACTTAATTAAAAAATGAGAATAGCAGCTCAGCCCACAGTAGGTGGGATCCAGCCCCATGTCTGGCTCTGTGCTGACAGTGTGGAGTCCGCTTGGGATTCTCATTCTCTCTCTCTCTCTGCCCCTCCCCTACTTGTGCTTGCTCTCTCTCTCTCTCAAAATAAATACATTTTTAGAAAGTGAGAACAATTTCTAAATTGCTGGCAATTTTTCTTTGACCCTGCTTTTTTCTTTCCCCAAGTTACCATTGGAGGAAGTTACAACACTCATTTTTTAAAAAATCACTTCAAGCATAACTTTCTGATGCCTTGATTTCTAATCTCAGCATTTTACCCACTGCTTCTAACGACAGGCAGCACCACCACGACCTACCACATGCCAAACAGAGTGGTGCTGTGCAGGCACGATTTCACTTCATCTCCTTGTCAAGCTGTGATAGACACTATCCCTATTTCCATCCTCCAGCCTAGGATACTGACAAGTCCCTGAGTGTATAGAGCTATCGCTTTCTATGTGCATCCAGACACCCAGGCCTCACCTCTTTAAATTACTTAACCGAAAGCAAAATCATGGCAATCTCTAGAAGGGAAAGCATGATGCATTACGCAGAATTCTTATCCACTAAGGTGGTATCTGAAGCTGAGGCTGGCATCGTTCAAGGTGGGTTTCTTTCCTTGCTCAACACTTGTTTACCTTCCTAAGTCACGTAGTCGACCTACAGGCGTGTAAAAACGAGTAAGCGCAGTGCCAGCTATCTGGCAGCTCAGGACAAATGCTCTGGCTACACTATTTTGGGATAAGCGATCACTGCCCTCGGAGGAACTACGAACTTGCATGCCCTCTGCTTCTCCAAACTCTTGGGCCTACGTTTCTTCCTCTTCTCATGAGGATTTCTAAATCCGAACCGAACTTGGAATGATAGAGGGCAGCAGGAGAGTCAGAGGTGGCCAAAGTCATACTGTCTCCAAAAGCCTCTTCCCTTGAGGCCCCACTGCCCAGGGCTGAGAGTGGCAGGACTCCCAGAGGCCCCCAGACCCCGCGCGGCAGCTCCCCCTTCACAGTACTCGGTTACCGTGACGGAACGGCGTCCTGCGGCTCCAGGCCTCAGACACCTGCTTTTTCAAGGTTTCTTCCGTGACAGCATCCGAAAACTCCGCTATCACCTCCTTCTTCCCCTTTTTCCCCGCACGGCCGGGGCCCGGCTCAGCTGGCCGTTTCCCATTCATCTTCTCTTAAGCTACGGACCCACGCCACTCTGATTAAGCAGCTACTTTCCGGGGAAGACTACAATTCCCAGAATGCCCCCTATCCCGTGTTCCCCAGCATCGCCCAATAGGAAGTCCCAAGGAGGAGGCGGAGCCTATTCCTCATTTACCAATGGGAGCTCCAGATATTGCGGCCATCTCACCAGCGATTGGCCCAGGGGTGGTTGGCTAGGCAGGCCGCGCCCCTCTACTTCCTGCCGCCAGAGGCTGTGGATGCACTTCCGGTGTGCTTTACCTCCTCTTGCGCTCTCATGTTAATGGCGGGTGGCGTCTACTGAGGGGGACGCGAATAACCGCTGCCGGCACAGGGAAAGTCTCCCTGCCTGCCCCATTTTCTCTCGCCGCCAGTATTCGAGGCAGCCAGCATGTCTGTGGTACCGCCCAATCGCTCACAAACCGGCTGGCCCCGAGGGGTCAACCAGTTCGGCAACAAGTACATCCAGCAGACCAAGCCCCTCACCCTGGAGCGAACCATCAATCTGTAAGTGCGGCCTGGCCTGAGCGCGCTGCCTTCGCGGGCTCCCCCTTCCTCGTGAGCGCTCCTAAAGACTCCAGATCTTCCGACGCGCCCCTGGCCGTCGGCGGGCTCCACGCCTCCCCACCAATTCCAGTCCCGCTCAGGGACGCGCGCTTTTGAAGATCCCTCGGGGGCCCTTTCCCGGTCTCCGGGCGCCGCGGGGTTAGAGTCCTACTTGAGAGGGTTTTCCTTTTCTGTAGGGAAGGCGTGCCCAACACTGCCCCCCGATTCAGTCATTCTAGGAAAATCCCAGGTTTGCTTTGAACTCACCCCCTCCCCATGTCTCCAGAGGTAACCAGCTGCAAAACGTGGGGTTTCTTTTTCCTGTCCAGTGTTTACGTTTTCACATCACGTTTGTGATCGTGTTTTTGTGTTTTTATTTGGTATGAATGGTGTAATGGATCATTTTTTTGCAGTTTTCACTTTTCTGTAGCGGTTAAGCTTTCGAGCTCTAGCTCTGAAGCTTCGGTTTAGCTTTTTTCCTTCTACCTGCTTAATTGTATGTGAGCTCTTGAAGGCAGCACATTTTATCCGTGTGTTCAGGGCTAGCTGGCTTCCCCTATGCCTTCACCTGTCTTCCCTGCCGCAGCGACAGCAGTCAGCCACCCCGTAGGCCCCAGCTGAGGAGGGTGGATACTGTTAGGCCTGGGTTTCCATTCAAACCCTGGAGGGGACCAGCCTGCCGCCCCAGAGAATCCACTGTGGCCTGCGTTTTTATTTGCCACACTTTTCAGTGACAGCCCTTCAAGCCATTGCATGTCGATGTCAATCACAAAAGTCATCTTGCAGTTAGTGGCAGGTAGTTGGCATTTGGGTTCTGTCTTGATCAGGAAATTGTCCGTATGTCCCCCCGCCCCCGCTTAAATAATTTCTTAGAGTTTGTGAGGCACAGTGGTGCTGACCCTAATGGAGGAAAGTAGCCAGTTTATGCTGGTCAGTATTTGTAAGGTACAAGGATTTACTTACTGATACTGGTGTCTCCACGAGAAAGTTTTACGTGTTTTTCTATTTTACATTCAAATAAATGAACTTCAACAGCGTTTTGAAATTGAAACGATGGTTGTAATTATTGTTTTATTTGGCAAAACAAGTGCTGGCCTGGAAGGTTAGATAATAAAAATGTTGTGTTTATTAAATCTGTAGCTAGAGAGTGGTGTATGTACAAGCTAATATCTCTAGTTATTACGTTAGCATAATAGTTTAATTTCATGTCTCTGTTTTTCAGAACATCTTATTAAGATTTCCATGAAGTGGAAGAGGCAAATTTTTTTTTTAATGTGAAAGCACAGCTCTTGGATTCCTTTGGTAATTAAAGCTAGGGCTCATGGTTTTCCTTTGATTTAACTTTATTTCTGGATCAATTTGCATCAAGTTACTATGTAGAATTAACTTGGTGAAATGTTTTTTATTTTTGCTCCATTAAAGTTATGGGTTGACGGGGGCACCTGGGTGGCTCAATCGGTTAAGCATCCAACTCTGGCTAAGGTCATGATCTCAGGGCTCTTGAATCCAAGCACTACGTCAGGCTCTGTGAGACCTGGAGCCTGCTTCAGTTTCTGTGTCTCCCTCTCTCTCTGCCCCTCCCCTGCTCGTGCTCTGTCTCTCAAAAATAAACATTAAAATAATTTTTAAAAGTTGTGGGGTGATGAATTTACAGAACATTTCCTCTCCTGTGTAAATACAGTATTCAGAAAAAAATCACTGATGTGAACTCAGTTCATCTGGGTGAGTTATAATCTAACTTGAAAACAAGTCATCTCCCCCAGAATATTCTTTGCTTTAGGAAATACTGCATAGATGCCTACTTTGTATCAGGCACTGGGCATAATGCTGGGTGTACAGTGAAGAGGAGGTAAGATGTAGTCCCCGCTTTGCGAAGTTCACAGTGTGATGGGGGTAATATGTGTGTCTGGGCTGGCACTCTTGATTTCATACCTGAAAATTCTTATGTTTCATCTTGATACGAGAGCTGACGTTTGCAGTATAGATGCGTACAGCTATCCTCGATTCTTTCTAACTCCGATTGTGAGAACTAAATGTTAATACATATAAACAGTTGTCTGGCACATAGTTCCATGTGAAATGAATGCTGCTAGCGATGATGATGGTAATGATAGACTCAGCATTAGGTCTGCTGGGGAAGTTCTTAAAGTCTTTCAAGCATCCTGGAAATGGTATATTTTAGCTATTTTAGAGCTGCTTCATTCATGTCTAGAATTTGGCCTCAGGAATTAATTTGTTAAATTTCGACAATCTTGAGTTTCCCTTTCATCCAATCCATCCAGTCCACTTAAGTGGATTAGTTACGTAGTTCTTGGCTTTGGATGTTAAGTCATTTTCATAGGAAATAGGCAGGTGGGTCAAAGTATTCTTACTCAGAGGCATACAGTCAGAAGTTTCTTTACTGTAAGACCTATGGTCAAGGGGTTACAAGTTGTGTGATTAAATATAGGTATGGGATTTTTAAATATTTTAAGGAAAAAAATTGATATTTACTAGACAAGATGAAAACTGTCTTAATATGACCCATGTTTTGAATTCTTGATAAAGGAGGAGAGACTATTCAGGTTAGAAATGGTGGGCAAAAAACTTGAGGAAAAGGGAAGAATAAGGATACTGGATAGAATACATACAAAAGTTAAAAAGGTTTAGAAGGGAAAGAAATGTTCATCTGAAGAGGAAAGGGTTGTGGTACCAGAAAAGTCTCACGATAGTTGACTGGGAGAAAAATAACTGGGGAGATGATAGAAAGCGGTGGCTCACCTTGTAGAAAAAGAGTTATTAGTCTTTAACACCCATAATTAGTAGAATTTCTGATTAGATTCGTAGAGGAGCCCAAGGGGGCATTAGCTAGGTTGTCAGTTTTAATATAGCAGCCATGATCTGCCAGAGGAGTACCAGATATCCAGGTGGTCATTTCTCTAAGCATTTGAGGGACGTAAGGATGGTGTTATCTATACTTGAAAGTCCAAGTGTGGTGTAGCAGCTTGATCTAATGGAAGCTCTGGCTTTATAGTCCAAAGAGCTGGATTCTAATCACTTCTGTCACATTAACTAGTTGTGTAACTTTGGAGAAATCCTATGTTTCTGAGTACAGTATATATACTTTTTTTTTTTTTTTTTTTACCATAGTTGCTTTATACATGGTTGGAATCTGTCATGGTAAATTATGGTCTTCAGTTCTCATGTGACATATTTGTCTTTGGACCACAGGTACCCTCTTACTAATTATACTTTTGGTACAAAAGAGCCCCTCTATGAGAAGGACAGCTCTGTTGCAGCCAGATTTCAGCGCATGAGGGAAGAATTTGATAAAATTGGAATGAGAAGGACTGTAGAAGGGGTTCTGATTGTCCATGAGCACCGGCTTCCACATGTGTTGCTGCTGCAGCTGGGAACAACTTTCTTCAAATTGTAAGTGTCGTTGGAAGTTAACAGCGAGACAACTTTTAGGATTGCTGTTTTCTGCAGCTTTGGAATACAATTTTAGACCTTAGTCATTTGTTTCCACAAACACTGCTGTTGATGGAGTCTTTAGAAAGAGAAATTTATGTCATTTTTCTGTAGCGTAGTGCTCATTTATTGCCTAACTAGAAATTTGTATGTGTCTCTATATTGTTAATAATTTAGCCTGATAGAAGCCCTGTAAAGCAAGTAAGTCCAAATTCAATTTCTAGATATCATTGTAGCATTACTAAGAACAATTGATATTATTTTTAGGATGAATAGTGTTTCTTTTCCTTAAAATGACTTAACATTTTTATAGGTAACTATTTAGTTTTATCATTAAGCTTATAAGTCTCTCACTATTCTACGTTTAGTCCACAATGTTTTGACCAGATTATGCCAATAAAGGTCAAATCCTTAGATAGGAATTCTTGAAAAATGTCCCATTTTTCAGACCTAAAGAATGTGGCCCACTGCCTCTCTGGGCATTTCTAGAATCCATTACCACCAGATAGCTTCCAGAGAGAAGAGATTGGGATGGACTTCTGGCCAGCAGTTATGTTTGTTATGTTACATGTTTGGTTTGTTTAAAAATAGGGTTTGTGTACTGTTAGTCTGGTGACTTAATCCTGGGAATTCAAGTTCTTAGCACACTCTTTCCCCTCCCTTTCACATTTGTTTGCTTTGATTGCCTTAGGCAGCATTGAAGTATGTGTTACTCAGTTACATGATAGAAACTATTATTTTGTTCTTCCTGTTAACCTAAAAGTATTAAGTTGAAAGCTGAAATTCTTAACTTTTATACAGACCTGGTGGTGAACTTAACCCAGGAGAAGATGAAGTTGAAGGACTAAAACGCTTAATGACAGAGGTATTTTTCCATTTTATCACTTTTGCAGTTTGATTCTTGCCCTGAGTACCATCAACTTAACGGATAATTGGGCTTTTTATCTCTTGTGGAAAGGATAAGTTTATTTAGAATAGTTTTCAATAAATAAAACTTGATTACAATGTTTAATCTCTGCAAATTGAACTTGTACTTTAGTTTAACTTTTTTTTCTGTTGCAATGTTGGTATAACAATAATAGTTAATAAAAGCCAACATTTATTGAGTACTTCCTGTGCTAGGCGCTGTTCTAAGTGCTTTACATGCAATAACTGCTTTAATTATCACAACAGCCATTGGAGGAAGTACTATTATTAATCCTATTTTACCCATTGGGAGACTGGGCCCAGAGGTTCAAGTAACTTACTTGATGTCTATAGCTAGTATGGCACGTGGCTGGAGGTTTGAATGTAGTAGTATTCCAGTGTAGACCCCTGTAGGGTTTTGACAAGGGAATGATTACTGTTAAATACCTATGTTCATATTTACACTTATCTTTTAAGCTTTACCCATATTGGGCCACATTTTAAAATTCACTCTAATGTCTGCTTCTAAAGACTTGGAGCCAAATGCATAGATGCTTGAGGTTTTGAGATTGCAGGTTGTTTTTACTTTTTTGCATGCAATCCTTACCTCTTTAATTATAAAACTAAGGTTTTTCTGTGCAAAAACCTTAGATACAGAAAAGCAGAAGGAAAAGCAAAATTAAAATCACCTGTAATTCGACCACTTTGACCTACTGGTTTATCTTTTCTAGTGTTTTTTTTCTAGTGCATTATAATTTTTAAATACTGTGCTGTGCTTCCATTTGTATGTGGTTGATTGGACCTACTTGCTTAACTCAGCTCCTTCTCAAAACTCACCAAAAAGGAAGTAAAGGGTTTTGTTTTTTTTTTAAGATACAAATTCAGTAGGACTGAGGGAGTGTAAGTTGAGACAATAGCAAAAAAGAATTTTTGGAAGCTAGAAAGCAGATGGGCAAATCACATCTGACTTAGCAGAAACCCTCAACAGGAGGGTATTCAAGGACCTAGCACTGCAGAGCAAAAGGCTGAGGGATTGGAAGTGCCAGGTGCCCATGAAAGTGGAGGCATGCATGGACTGAAAACTGGGTTGATTGACAGTTTATAGAACATATTTCTATATCTGGTTCATCTTCCCCACTCTGAACAGTTAGAGACTAGCTGATGACTGATTGTCAGTAGCTGTTGACTCAGAGAACATTAAACATTGAAAAAGTAGAGGAGATAAGGAGAATAGGTGAGAGTTTACATCCTCAATAGTGAGACTTTTGGATTTCTACCAGGCTCATAAAATGATGACAACTAGGCTTACATACCCCAAGCTGAAGGTTGGAGGTTTTGTTTCTGAAGAAAGTGGCCAGTCCAAAAACAAAACAAAACAACACACACAGAAAACCCCTTCTGATGATGGTTATTTGCGAACCTTCACAAAGAATAGTGTGACCCTATCACTCAGAGGTGATAGTTAAGCGTCTTATTGCTTTAGCCCTAATTAAGAGCCAGGCTTTTGGAGAAAGTATCTTAAAAAAGAGATGAAAAGAAGCAAAAGAAGCTCAACAGAAACAGAAAATTCAGCAATCAACAAAATTATGACTCCTATTTTTGGTGTGATGAAAGTAGATAGCTCATCTTTGGAACACTGTGCCATAAAAAAGACTCTTCAGCCAACAAGAAAGAACCCATGATATTTAAACAAATGTTAGCAGAAACAAAAAATTCAGTAGAGGGTTAAAATATTGAATTGAGGAAATCCAGAAAGTAGAATGAAAAAGTAAAACAAAGATGAGAAAAGATAAAATTAGCCAGTCATTCTAGAAGGACCAAAATACATTATATATAAATAGAACAGAGGAGGGATAGCAAAACAATAACTGAAGAAAATTTCCCAAACTCAGAGCATGAGTTTTCAGATCGAAAAGACTTACTAGCCTTCCCTTTATATTGAATGTTAAAAGATCCATGCGAAGGCATATCATCATGAAATTTTTTTTTTTTAATTTTTGAGAGAGAGAGCATGCGAGCAGGGGAAAGGGGCGGTGGGAGCAGGGAGAGAGAGAGAATCTTAAGCAGGTTCCATGCTCCATGCAGAGCCCAACATAAGTATCCGTCCCATGACCCCAGAATCATGAACTGAGTCAAAATCAAGAGTCAGATGCTTAACCAACTGCGCTATCTTAAAGAGATAGATCCTAAAATAAAGAGAAGATCCTAAAACCTTCCAAAGTTAGGGAGGGAGGAGAGACAGGAGTTATATGCAAAGCCTCAAAATTAGAAATGGTATTGACTCCCTAGAAATAACAGAAGTTAAAAGGTCTTGGAACATGCCTTTATAATTCTGAGAGAATGTGATTTCTGTCATAGAATTTTCTGTCTAATCAAACCATAAATCAAATGTGCAGGTAAAATAAACTTATTTTTAGACCTACAGAGTTTCCAGACATATATGCCTTGTACCCTTTGTCAGGAAGCTACTGGAGGGTGTTCACCACCAAAATGAAAGAAAAAACTAAGAAGATACAGGATTCAGAATATAGAGAGGATCTAACAACACAGGAGAGAGGAAAAGGGAAGCCTTAGGACTCCAGCTGTGAGGCAGGGCTGAGAGCATCTACAGAGTGGAGGAGGATATACAGTGTCTCTTAGTGGGACACCTGGGTGGGTCAGTTGGTTGAGAGTTGGACTCTTGATTTTGGCTCAGGTCATGACCCTGAGGTTATGGGATTGAGCCCTGCATTAGGCTCTAAGCTGGATGTGGAGCCTGCTTGGGATCCTCCCTCTCTCCCTCTCCCCCCTTCTCTCTCTCCCCCCCTCCTTCCCTCCCTCCCTCTCTCCCCACTCTTCCCCTTCTCCCTCTCCTCCCCTCTCCCCCCTCTCCTCCTCCTGCTCTCTCTCCCTCTCTTCCCCTCTCTTTCCCTCTCTCTCCCTCTCTTCCCCTTGAAACTTTGTTTCAAGTTTTTATTTAAATTCTGGTTAACATGTAGGTTCAGGAGTAGAATTTAGTGATCCATCACTTACATATAACATCCAGTTGCTCATTACAACAAGAGCCCTCCCTAATACCCATCTTCCATTTATTCCATCATCCTGCCTACTCTCCCTCCAGCAACCCTCTGAAACTAAAACAGTTTATTTAAAAACAAGGGGAATGCTTGTAAAAATAGAGGCAAGTGTTGGGGGAAAATAGCTAAGTTGAAAGTTGTAGACTATGGAAATTGGGAAAGTGGGACAGGGAACTTCTTATGGTAAACCTTGTAGAACCATGTTTGACCATTTAAAATGTATAGAGTATAATTTTGATTAAAATAACTTGAGTCTAATGTTATGCTACACAGGCTTATAAAAATGAAAATTGTGAATTTTGAACACTTTTTTCTATAATTTAGTTAGGTGGGTGATTTACATACGCTACAGCTTGATTCTGGAAACACTATTGTACGTATGGCATTAGCTGACGTAAGTAATGCAGTACCTTTGGTTTTCCATGTGTGGCCAGGGTGTGACAACAGATTTGTTGGTCTTAGATAGTTATGTTGATGCTTAGGTTGCCATTTTGGAACTAATAGTGTATGTCTTGGGCCAAGTGACACATAATATTAGACAAAAAAATTATAAAGAGGACATCTATATTTTCACAAAAGAAGGATATTAACGGATTGTTTATTGGCTATCTTATTTCTTTTTAACAGATACTGGGTCGTCAAGATGGGGTCCTGCAAGACTGGGTCATTGATGACTGCATCGGTAACTGGTGGAGACCAAATTTTGAACCTCCTCAGGTCAGTGCTCATTTATATTTGCTGGGCATTTGGGGAAGTAGAAAACAAATTTAATTCTAGCCATTTGAAAAGAGTGTAATAGAATTTGACTTGAAAATTTCTTTTCTCTCTCCTTAATTTAGAGAAAAAATGAAAAAGCCAAGCATTTTTTTCTTTCTTGATTTAGATAAAAAATGAAAAAGCCAAGCATGTGTTTCTTTCAAACATAACAAAAATAGAAGGAATAGTGAAAATACATGAATCCCATTACCTGTTACCCACAGGTTAACAGTTAGCAACTCATGGTCAGACTTCATCTGCCACCCCATTCCCCTGCCCTCACCTTGGATTATTTTAGAGCAAATCCTAGGTATCATTTGGAACGTAAATATTTCAGTATGTATTTCTAAAACACAAGAGTCTTTTTAAAAACATAACCACAGTACACATTCTCATATTAAGAATAAATTATTCCATGAGCTCATTAAATCTGTATATCTCTGACTAGTTTCAAGTTTTATTTTTATTTTGTTTTATAATTTGTTTAAATTAGGATGGTCTCAAGTCTCTCTTGGCTGGTTGCTTTCCTGTTTCTCTTTTTTTTCCTTGTAATTTATTTGTTAATGAAAACAAGCTATTTAAAGTCCTTTGTGTTTCCATTGCTGATTGCATCTGCCTTGTCATTGAGCATGTAGTTCTTTTGCTTCTGTCCTATAAACTGGTAGTTAGATCAAGAGAATGGATTTGGCTAATGAGGGACTATAAGGCTTACCATAGGCAGTATATTGTCTGTCTATTGCTGCATAATAAATTACCCCCAAACCTAGCAGCTTAAAACAGCAGACATTTGTTATCTTCATTTTTCGGGGTCAGGCATCTGGATGCTGCATAGTTGGGTGGTTCTGGCTCATGGTGACTCATGAGGTTATAGTCAGATTGTCTGGGATTGTATCACCTCAAAGCTGGGCTGGGGCTGAAGGGTCTGATCCCAGGTTCACACATGTGTTTGTTAGTGGGCCTCTCCTCCTGGACTGTTGGACTGAAGGCTTCAGTTCCTCGTTGGGTGTTGACCCAAGGCCTCTCTCTGTTACAATGAGAGTGTCTCCACAGGTTAACTCTTAGTAAGGCAGCCAGCTTCCCCAGAGATCCGATATAGAGACAGTGACAGATAGATACAGTGCCCAGATAGGAAGTTGTGGTCTATTTCAACCTAATCTTGACAGTGACATACCATCACTTAACTTCTGCTGTATGCTGTTGGTCGCACAAGCCAACATGGTACATTGTGGGAGGGGACTTCACAGAGGTGGATATTGGGAGACAGGAGCCATTGGAGGTCATCTTGAAGGATAGCTGCCACAGATGGTATTGTACACTTCCATCAGAAGTTTTATAATGTCTGCTTGTCACTTTTTGTTATGGTAGCAGCTCATTGATAATAGTTTCTTGGATTTCATTAGGATTGTGATAGTTTCATTAAGGAAAATGTCTCTCATCAACTATTTGGTTACCTTGAGGTATAGTTTGTGAAGGAAAGAATAGATCCTTCCTTTCATAAGAATGAATTAATTTATTAGTATCCTCCAAAAACGTTATTCAAGAGAAAGAGTAAGACAAAGACTTGGGTGCAGACTGTTTGGGAAGTGATCCCAGAAAGCAGTAGACTAATGGGAGAGGGCGACCAGAAATAGCAAAAGTAAAAAAAAAAAAAAAAAAAAAAAAAAAAAGAAGGGCACATAATTTATTTTATTACAACTATGGGCAACTGGATTGATCCTGTTAAGGACTGTGAGGAACCATGTGGAATGTACCTTAAAATTGTTCCATCAGAAGGATGGAAGGCTGGAGATTCCTACCCCATTGGATGAGGCTTATATTAACTCTGTTGCACTTTCATGTTGAGTCTGACCGCTGGTTGATTTTCCGGGACTTTGGAAATGCTTTGAGGCTGAAAAGCAGAGAATGAGACAGTAGCAGCAAGCCAGGAGCTTTCTAGCACTTTTCAACACAGCTGCCCTGGAATCTGAGGTGGGATGAGATCTGAAGTGGGTGATGAGGGGCACAAAAAGCATCTGTTTCATCAACCTTTTAAAGTGTCGGGGCGCCTGGGTTGCTTAGTCGGTTGAGCGTCCGAGTTTCGCTTAGGTCATGACTCGTGGTTCGTGGGTTCAGGCCCTGTGTCGGACTCTGTGCTGACTGCCAGCTCAGAGCCTGGAGCTTGTTTCAGTCTGTGACTCCCTTTCTCTCTGACCCTCCCCTGCTCACACTGTCTCTCTCTCTCTCCTAGAAATAAATAAAACATTAAAAAAAAAAAAAAGTGTCATATGACCTCATGGATTTAAATACATTTGTTGTGTTTTAATCCACTGTAATGATTGATAATGGTAATGGTGCTGATGTCCAGATTTTCTTACCTTTAACTGATGGAGGCCTCTGATCCTGAATCCTGCAGACAAGGCTCTATGACTTGGATACCTTTTCTGGATTATATTTTGTTCCAGGTTAAGAATTATACAAAATGTCAACCAAGCAAAAGATTATTATGTCTGGCCCCTTTCTTCTGACTCTCTACTATAGCTGAGGGATAGGAAGGTAAGGTGCTGTGGAAGCTGGTGCTAGTACTCCCTACCTGAGAATTCTCCCGGCCTTAAGAAAGTATGATTTCATCTAGAAATAGTGAAGTTCTGGGCCAAAGATACATAAAAGAACTACTGTAAACTTTTTATGGTTTCTTGAACATTCTTCAGTCGAACTGGAAGCTCAGTCATAAAAGTTTTCTAGACTACTTTCTGAATGCCCTCATCTCCCCTACTGAAGTCCGAGGACAGTTCCCTTAATTCACTGAACCCTAGGGTTGGCTCTGCTAGCATGAGGTATAATGTAGGTGTTGTGTGTTTAATACATTGGGGTAGTGGTTAGGTGTCCGTGGGAAAAGAACACAACCATCTCCCTGTCTTTTTGTATAAAGTGCCCTTGGCTTAAAATAAACACCAAGATGAGGATTGGAGAAGAAAGGCTTCAAAGTAAAGGGACATGTAGCCACAAGTAGAAGAAAATTGGGGTGATTAATGCCAGTCACTTTGTTTTGGTCATGGTGTGGGAGCTTCCGTTTTATGTGAACCACAGGTCTCTCATAGCCTGTGCTATTCAAATTACTTCTCACCTTTTTGACCCTTACTGCCAGTGCCTGTTTTTCATGATCATGTAGGGCATCTCCAAAACTTGGGACAGTTGTCTTAATTCATCATACCTTAGGGATGGCTCTGGTGTGTAATCATTCTGACTGAAATACTGAGATATCCAGTGGAGGGTAGCATAATGGTAAATAAAAGGCTTTTTATAGTGTGATAAGGGTTGAATAGATGAGGTTGAATCCTGATATCACTAATAACTTTTGTAATCTTGGGAAAGACTTCAGCTTCTCAGGTAAGTTTTTACATTAAATGTGAGGGGATACTACCTTCTTTTGGCTGCCTCTGTTTTATCCTACTCCCCCCTTATGTGTGTCTTCAGTATTTTTCAATTCCCCTGCCCTCAAATAGAACTCCCAAAGCTGAAGTAGATTTTTCTGAATGTGTTAGGGGGAGGTGCAAGAGAGATCTCTATACCAGCCTTTTAAAATTTGCTCTGTCAAAATTCTTTTTCCTGCAGTTGCAGCTCTCCCCCCCACCCTCCCCCCAATTTTCTTTAGAATTTCTTAAGTTCTCCAAAACATTTTCTCCATTTTCACAAGCAACTTGATTCTCTCCAGCCGACAAGACTTGACTTACACTGCTTGTCTGGTGTTCCTGGTGTGTGTGTGTGTGTGTGTGAGTGTGATCTTTGGGGGTGGAACATCTTGTCAAATACTTCACAGGCCATATTTAAACTTTTAATATAGTAACTATGTCCACATCAGAATTCTAGAAAATTGAACTTAGTGATGATTTTTTAAAAACTTTTATTAGAAACATTACTTAATGTCAGACTTCATTGGATTGTAAATTTCTCAAGCTATAAATCCTACAACTACATATTTAATTGACTTGCATGAGTTACTACTCATTACATTGTGTTTATTAAGCATTTGTCTATTAGAACATCTGTTAGGTACTAGGTTCTGGTAAAGACAAGACTAGAAGGGGTTCTAGTTCTCTCAGCAGTATATACTGTATTGGGAAATAAACATATAAAGAAAGAAATGAAACTACAGGATACAAGTTAAGTAAAATTGTGTTGGGATTATGAGAATTTGGGCTTAAAGGGTTGATATATTACTGTAATATGAAATGGGAAAAGTTGATAAATAAAGGAATGGAGGATTAAGTGATGTCTTGGCCAATACAAATTCTTCTCTTTTGTTGTTTTAGTATCCATATATTCCTGCACATATTACAAAACCTAAGGAACATAAGAAGTTATTTTTGGTTCAACTTCAAGAGAAAGGTAAGAAAGCACCCACCTAAAAACTTTTGTAAAGTTATTTCAAGAATACTTCTATTGGTGTTTTCTCCAAGTTCCTTGAAATTTTGGATTTATTCTAAAAATAAAAACACATACTCTGTTTATACAGAATTTAGTCGTTTTTCTCATAGATGGGTCAGTCATGCTGTAGGGGGAAAAGTAAATTTAGCTAGAGCCTAAAATATCATATTATGGTATTTTTAAATAACTGTTCAGCTTCTGGTATTGATACTCACATTGTAATGAACTGAAAATTTTAGATGGCAGATGAAATGATTTTTTAATACCATATTTAGGATTGTTGTACATTTTAACAAATAATTATTCCATGTCTTAAAATGGAATTAATAAATTATAAACCCAAGGCTCTACTCTTCTCTCCTTGCTCCCAGGGCAGCACTTATAAGGTGCTCTTGCTTGTTAACAACATGAACTTTGCCTAAAAGATACAACCAAAAAATGTACTATGAGAATTATCTTTTTCTTCCAAAGTTTCTCAAATGTAAAACCAGTGATTAATTTAAAAATGAAGTGGAAGTAGTGATTATATAAGAAGTTACAGAAAATGAATACTATTTTATTTTATTTTAGCCTTGTTTGCAGTCCCTAAAAATTACAAGCTTGTAGCTGCACCATTGTTTGAATTGTATGACAATGCACCAGGATATGGACCCATCATTTCCAGTCTTCCTCAGCTTCTGAGCAGGTATGGAAAGTTGACTATTCTGTGGCTGATTCATCTAAAATTGCCAGATTTAAAGTATTTTGAGCTGCTTCAGAAGGGGTAATTATGAATTTTGGTCTTTAAAGAAACTAAGAGGGTAAATGGATTCATAGTTCATATAAAAGCCATAGATTAAATACTGACTAAAAGTGTCCCCAGACTCCTCTCAAGTTGCAGCATGCCATTCTGATAAATATGAGAATGTACCAGAAGTGTTCTTCCCCAAATCTGTTATATATATATATATTTTTCTTTCTTTTTTTTTATTTTTACTGTTAGGATTGAAGTCTTCATTCAAAGAAGGGATGGTAAAATGGCAGTCAGCACTGTATAATAAAAACTAGGGGAATATCTATATAAAAACATGGAGAATTGAATCTCTTGGTGTAATATGTTCTCTTTCCTCTTCAAAGCCTGCTATAGTTAGGCCTATTTGGATACGTGGGATTAAGTTTTGAATTCTTACATACATGTAGTTTTTTTGTTTTTTTGGCAGGTAGGGTGATAAATGCATTTTTTAAAAAAAGTTGACTTGTACTGGTTGAGTAGCCTGCTATGGATAGGAATCTCAGAACAATGTGGTGGCTAAGAATATGGATTCTGAGGGCAGTGTTTGGACTTGAATTCTACCTTTAATAACTTCCTGGCAGTGTGACCTTGGACAAACTCTACTATTTGCTTGTGTCTTCACTTGTAGATCAGTCCCCACTATAGAATTGTGAGGAGCAAGTGAAATGATGCATCTAAAGTGCTTAAAATAGTAGTAGGCACCTGGCAAATGCTGACATAAATATTAGTTCAAAAACAGTTCCAATACTGATTTTGGTTTTCTGTGAAAGCTTGTTGAGTAGGAAATTGGTCTATTTTGTTATACAAATCAAATTATCATTTGTGCCTCTTGGTCTGCTGACGGGTTAAAAGTTGAAGTATGAGATATGAAAAAGAGTCCTAATATTTGAATACCACCTAGGTATGATTAGGAACTATGCTGAGTGGCAGACTACCATGAGGTATAAAAATTTTCCTTCCCTCAAGGAACTTGTTAGTGGATAATTAATCAGATGTACACTCTGAAATTTTCTTTTAGTTGTGAGTATTTAACAACACTTACTTATTGTGTAAGACCAGATAGGTGAGAAGAAAGTATGTCTGAGTATAGAAAATGCCAATAATGTCAAGGGAGGGTAGAAATGTTCGCATTTCTTTATCATCTAAGGTAAAAAAAAAACTTTGTAAATTATGCTGTTTTTAATAAAGATATTGTTCTTTCTAAAATTCAGGTTCAATTTTATATACAACTGAATTCCTGCACAGTGGAGAAGTAAAAGAAGCCGTCTCTGTGAGCACAGCTATACACAGTGTAGAATAAACATAAACATGGTAGAAAAGGTTTTTTTTTTTCTGTTTATTTTTTTTTAATCTCTTCCCCAGTCCCTAAATTGCTACCTACTTTCTGTTGTTTGAATAGTAAAGTTAATATGAAGAACTAGATAGTGGTGTAAACAAATGTGACAACGTTTAATTTACTTTTGGTTCTACTAGTTTTTTGTACAACATTAAAGAGTATGGACTTCTTTCTACTTGTATTTTTTTTTTTTCCACATTAAACTTGGAAAATTCTTACAGGTGAGGATTGGTTTTTTTCTCTCCTCCTAGGTTGGTGAATATTTAAAGACTATGGCAGGTTTAGGTCAGTCGAGTTTATGGGACCCTTGTTCTGATGTCATAGTTGGGGTATACCCCAAGACTGTTCTAGATTTTTGTGTTAAGGAACCTACATTACTTTTGGGAACTAGATTTGCGTGATGGAGTCCCAAGGTGTAACTCCTGAACCAAATAAAACACTCTGAATTATACTGCAGCAGAGCTCCCGGAATAGTACTGACTGGTACATTTTATACTGATACATTCAGACCTTTATTCACAAGCAACAGACCTGAAACATATGAGGAGTTATTAAAATTGGCTAGATTAGGGAAACTCATGGGAATTGGTATAAAGATACCCATTGAATATTGATTAAGATGCTTTTCCTTTACATAATGGGGATATTAATTATTTGTGTCATGACATTATATGTTTTAGCTATTCTTACAATCATGGTAAAATGGTGGTCTGTGAAGGAAGTTTCTAAAAGTGGGTCTGTTAGGTTCTGAACTCTTGGACTGCAAAGTTATTTCACTTTATATCCATAGGAATGAAAATTTGGTTTTAGTAAATGACATAAGCCTTTTCAAAAATACTTTGGAATAATTTCAATCAACTGAAATATAAGGACAGAATAGGGGATAGATTTTATCAGCCTAAGGGAAAAATACCAAATTTTAAAAACTCTTTAAAATGACACTACTAAATTAGGATCAAGTTTTGGAGAATAACAAAAGACTCCTAGGGCAAAGGAGTTTGCTGGCTGTGTCATTGCTTAATGGCCAGAGTATTTTGTGTATGTGCCTTGTAGCAAACTTGTTGACCGTAGGCCTGATGAAAAGGAAAACTTTTAAGATGCAGCTACTTAAAACAGATTGACATATTAATAGATAAACTGAAATGAACTTTTGATTAGTTCTTACATCTTTATGGTAGTGATCACAGGCTTTTTCTCCTGAACATAGAGTGATTTAAAAGTTATGTTGTATACTCTTCCCTATTTAGACTTGAAAAAATTAGACCAAGAGCAATTATATTAATAAAGGTTCAAGTTTATATAGTTAAGGTCCCATCAAACCTTCACAAGGTTTTGTGTCAAGTAGTGATTGTGACCATGCTCATGCTTTGTAGTAGGTGAGTACCCCACCAGGCTTTAGGACAAAAATGATTAGTGATTTTTTTTTTTTTTTTTTAAAAAGCTACTAATTCTGTGGATAGTCCTCTCCCTCAAGGGCTAACAGTCCCACCCCTCTGATTTACATTAGTGTGTTTATAAATTACTATAATTTTGGTGAGCTCACTGATTAGCTGAACCCTGTCAAGATTAGGGAAGGCAAAGATGGAGACAGCTTGATCCAGTCCACCTTTTTGATTGCTTCCGGCATGCAAGGGAAAGGCTACAGTAACTACATTTCAGGTGTGCTAGGGCAGTGCTTGTCACTTGGGAACGGTGGGAAGAGGTGGGCTTTTTCTTCATGTGTTTTATAAAGTACTGTATAAGTTGAAGAGATCTGATTTGAAGGTACTCATGTCCTTTGTAATACAAGTTTTGACCTAGAAATTCTTTCTTGATCACTTCTTCACAATGTAAGTGCTTGAGTCTGTTTTCTGTATGTTGGGCCCGAGGTGAGAAACACCTTTGATTACAGCTAGCTGGATTACTAACTTTAGAATGTAAAAAGATCTGGTTTTGGATGTAAAATGACAACACACAAACACAAATGTTCTAGACTGTCTTTGAACTGGTCAGTTAGGGTTATATCTCAATATTCTTGTTTTAGGTTTCCTGATGGAAATAGAACTAGGAAATTCAAATCTAATGTATTCCTACACACTAGATGAGGGTAGAAGGGCATTGCTTAACACTAAGCTCTTTTAAAGTAATTTCTTAACACACCTCTTCAAAATCTAACGGTCTTAAGTTGTGCATTCTAATTCTCTACATACTAAATACTGAATAATTTCAAAATGAGCTCTTGAACTGATTTGTATTTTTGAATGCCTTCTATATCCCAAGTTTGTGTATAAATGAGAATTCTCTTTTGCATTGTAGGAGTACAATATATGTCGTGATTTTTTTTCTGAGTAATCCAAGTAGTGCATATTCTATATAAATCTGCTAACTGGCACTGGAAAATATTCAGTAGCTTGGAGGAAAAGCTAAAAGTTTTACTCAGAATTTTCAGTCATTTAGAATTGACATCCCTTTGAAGAAAAGTGAAATTTTTTTCTTAAGTGCTGAACACTACTGTGGTTTTTTAAATAAGTAGATAATGGTTAAAATGGCATTATGATATTTCTGTTTATGAACTTGTACTTTTTAACATGAGGTCTGGAAGATTTTTTATTTTTTAACATTCTTTTAGCTCATATGGTTCAGTTATTTTTTTTTTCATTTTTTTATGGATTCCATTAAATTAGCATGTATTTGGATAAAACACAGGCAAATTAGCCAGTCTGTTTTCTTTGTGCTTAATTAGAAGAGAGGTAAAGGTCCTCTAAATTAAACAGGCCAGCAAGCATTAGCCGCTTAAAAATTCCCCTACTTAAACAATGTGACTCTTAGGCTTATGGTTTTAAATGACTTTATTTTTTGAGTACTTGCTCAGTCATTTGAAATGAAATGCTTGGATTAGCTTTTCCACATCGGAGTTTCTCAAACCTAATGTTTTTACTGGTTCATGTGTTCAGGACAGTACCCGCTGCTCACTACGCCTGCTTCAGATGGTGTGCAGTGAGTGTTGTATGCAGCTTCACCAGAGAAGCTTTAGTGGGTTTTGACTGTACCACAAGTCTGCTTCCCTAGCAAAAATTTGATTTCCTATAATTATTCCACTTGCTTTGCATCACTTATTTTGGTTAAACTGGACTTGTTTCAAGTAGTTTGCCTTTGTTGTTTAGATAGATGATGAAAAACATAATACTATAATTTGATTTGAGCCATAGAAGACATTTTAATATTAGCTTGTATTTATCAAGCTTGTTTTTGTGGAAACAGCAAAAAATAGACTTAAACCTAAGTGAGTCTACATGTAGCCAGTTGAGGTGTAATTTGTATTTTAATGATAGATTGTACATAGAACTAGAGAAAAAATGGGGAACATGTATTACATTCTCTGTTGAGGGAAAGATCAGTTCATTTAAACACTTAAAAACTTTTGGTTATTGTGTTTACAGCATAGTGTACTAGCATCGTTTATAGTTTGGCTTTGAGAATTTTTATGGCATTACACTTACAGAAAATGTATAAAAGAAAGTGTTTGAAGTTTTGGTTATATTTTTATATTTGTAAAGTAAAAGTTGGATTAAAATGGTCACTGTTCTTTTTAAATTTTATTTTATTGTCATTTCAATTAAAAAAATAAAACAATAACTCTGTGTGTGGCTACTAACCTTAGTTTGCAAGTAGAAATCCCGCACGCTTCTTTTTCAGTGTCCCTGGCCAAGGGCCGTTGGGTAAGAGACACTTGGCAGAATAGCAAGGGCCTGAAGAACTGGAACGTTGATATTGCCCTTTCCTGGCACTCCCCCATTGTGTGTTAGCTGTGGTCTTAGGCAGATCTAGTTTCCTGCATTGAGAAGGGGTCACTGGATTTAGAACCTGAACACGGGGATTTAGAAGTTGTCCCATGATTTTGTTAAGTGTATGTTGTATCATTGGCGAGTCAGTTTCCTCATCTATAAAGAGAGTGTTGGTTCCATTAGATCTTTTTCTGAGACTTGCTTGGAAGTCATGTTCTGTGACACCAGGCTTTCTGCTTATGTAATACTGTGTAATGTAATTTCAGCATCTTAAATAGAAACAAGTGTGCCCAAAAGATAGGAACAGGTATGTAATAAAATCACAGCCTTTAAGGTTTTATATCTGAACAGAAGTTGAACAGAACCTGATAAAGTTATTGTAAAGTTTTTCTGAAAAGTTTACTGCTTGTGTATTTTATAGCAGGTATCAAAAAGCTGTGAAAAAATAGGAAAGAAAAGCCAAAACTTGAAATATATCCATTAACTTCTTTCCCTACAACTTGAGTTGGTTATTTTTCTCCCTCTGCTAGATTTAGTAGTGGGATACATAGGTCCAGCTAATGAAACACCAGAATTCTGTGGGAGTATATTTAAGGCTACTGGATTAGATAATGAAATTCAGTATCTAGGATGTTGAGAATCTTCAACAACAACAAAACTCCTCAGCCTTTCTCACGGTATGGTGAAAATCAAATGAAGTCACGAATGTGAAAGTATTTTAGGTATTTAAAAAGAGTAAATAGCAATAATGTATGTAGGTGTCAATCCACACAAACTCTGGTTTGTCTGAAGTGATACTTTTTTAAAATTTTCTTTTAACTCAAGGTAAATCAGTCACCATCTTATAAAGAAGGCAGAAAATTCAGTCTCTCAGTCAGTCATTGGGAGACTTTGAGGCCCAAAGTCTCAGACGAATCCAGAAAGTATAAGTGGTACTCTGAAATGAGGGTGGGGGTGCAGAGAGCTCAAGCTTCCATCATGGACTCTACAGATACTTTTTGTGTTGAGGTTGGACCAGCTCCTCAAGGTCTGGTGTGGTTGACTTCCTGCCACATTTGGACCTTAAGACTCAACTGATAAAGGTAGTCCCTGTACCTATGTTCAGCCGTGCTGGGCACACTATTGCTCTGTGTTTTGCCTCCTTCCCTGGTCCTCTCATGGAGTAGGAGACAATGCAAAGAACCACAAGTGCTGATAGATTTTAGAAGGCGGGTTTGACCTTGCTAAAAATCCTTGAGAGAAGAATGTGCGAAAGCCTGGTACCTTCTTGGAGTGGGAGACGAAAAAAATGCTGGTAGAACAAATACTAATGATCCTAGTGAAATATCCAGTCACAAACCTTTAATATCTTTTAAAATGCTGGGGCACCTGGGTGGCTCAGTTGGCTAAGCATCCAACCCTTGATTTTGGC